GTCCCTAATATATCTTATTTATAAAAGCAATTAAAATCCTTTCTAATTAAATGTCTTAGTTTTATTGCATTTTTTATTTCACGGTTCAGTGCAGATTTTCGGCAAATGGTGTTTTTGCTAAAAAAATAAAAAAAAAATAAAAAAAAAAAAACCCAAAAACAAGTATTTAAATTCTTCAAGGAGTCCTGCTTTTAACTAATTTATATATGAAGAGGATGGAATTTTAATTTCTCAAAATTTCATCAAGTTAAGTAAGTGGGTAACAGATGTAAAAATATTTTTTATATATATATATATATATATATATATATATATATATATATCACACACACACACACACACACACACACACACACACATATATATATATATATATATATATATTTAAAAAATTATTGCATTTGTGAATAAGTCCTAAAAATTTTCTTAAAATCCGACAATTTTTTGTTTTTTGCAAGAATTTCAAAATACATTTCTTATCTAAAAAAGGACGCTAAAATTTCCGATGCTAAACTTTGCCCACACACCCCACAAAATTTAGAACATGCTCGAAAGGGAGGGTTAAAAAATTAATAAAATAATAAAAAAAAATACTTTTGTCTTTTCAGCTCATAATAACACTTTTGTTTTATCAAGTTTGGGGCCTTTTCTAAAGTCTCCTCATTCTCTTCCACCCCACTTGCGTCTTAGTGGCATTATCGCCTTGCTTGGAGTGAATTGATGAAAAAAAATAATTATACGAGTTGGACCTGTGGAAGAGGTCTTCATTTATGTGCCGTGTCACTTCAGAACATGGGCGATTATGGCTCTCCACCGTTTCCTATCCTTTGAAGCTCTTAATAAATTTTCTGTTTTCGCTGTCACCCCCAATCTCGATTCTGTCACCCATTTACACAAGTTTGTTAGGTTACACACTGTCCCTCCCACATTTAATATGTCCTATGAGTGTCGAATTCTCCAAGCCCTGTTTCCTCCTGGTGTGTCCTAGAAATTTCAGCTGTCTCTTATAAGTATAAATGTCCTTTTCGCTACCATTTCCCATAAAACTTTCCCAGTGCACATATGTTCAGTCCATGGCATTCTCAGCATCCTTCTGTAGAACCATATTTCTGTCGTCTCAAATTTCTTCTTCATCTGTTCAACATTCCGTGGCATAGAAGAGGACAGTTGTATAAGTTTAGTACTCATTTCTTTTTTTCTAACAATATTTTCTTGTTTCTTAATATTTTGCTTAGCTTTTAGAAGGCATCATCCGCAATTTCAATGCGGCTTCGGATTTCGGGGTCACATTTTTCGTCCTATGCTTATAAATATTTTTTGATTAATTTCACCCCTAGCAAGGCAATAAAATCCACTAAGGGGCTTACTGAATAAGGAAGAATGAGAAAAAGAAAACATTATCAAGGAGTGATAATAATAATAATAATAATAATAATAATAATAATAATAATAATAATTAGAAGAAGACTACGAAGAAGAAGAGGAGGCAGATGGATAAAAGAAAAAGATGGATAAGAAAAGGAAAGAAAATAGAAATAGGAAGAAAAAGGAGGAGGAGAAGGAGGAGAAGAAGTGGAGGAGAAGGGTGGTTGTCGAAGAAAAAGATGAATGAGAAAAAGGAAAGAAAATAGAAACAAAAGGAGGAGAAGAAGGAAGAGGAAGAAGAAGCAGTAGAAGAAAAAGATGAATAAAAAGAGAAAAGGAAATGGAAAAAATAATAATCAGAAAAATAGGACGAATAGAAAGATATCATAATAACAATGGAAGAAGAAGAAAAAGACAGAAAGATATATAAACATTAAGATTAAAGAAAAGAGGATGAAGAAAATAGAAAGATACAATAATAATAATCGGAAGAAGAAGAAGAAAAAGAGAAGACAGAAAGATATGAACATTAAGAAGAAGAAAAAGGAAATAATAGAATGAAGAACATAGAAAAATATAATAATAATAATAATCGTAAGAAAATAATAATAATAATAACAGAAATTAAAAAGACAGAAGATAACGACAGGCATTGTATCTTTGAAGAACAAAACTGACCGGGACGCAAGAAGCAGAGAGAGAGAGAGAGAGAGAGAGAGAGAGAGAGAGAGAGTTCCACAAGCGAGAAGTGCCAGAGAAGAAGCTGTTAGCATAGAACTTACGGCTACATGAAGCCATTTCGACAGAATATTAAAAAAAAAAACACTATTAAGGCGAGGTAAGAGGAATTAAGAAAAACAGAAGATGATGATAAAATTAACTGGAAACAAGAAGCTGGAAATGAGTTCCACAAGCGAGTAGTGCGAGAGAAGAAACTGTTAGCATAGAACTTACGGTTACATTTCGCCATTATGACTGAATAAAAAAAAAACAATATTAAGGAGAGAGAACAATAAAAGAAGAGAATTTCAGACGACAGAGTCTGACATTGAATCTAAATCTTCGAAGATCAAAGTTGACTGAGAAGCAAGAAGCCGGAAGAGAGTTCCAAAAGCGAGTAGTGCGAGAGAAGAAACTGTTAGCATAGAACTTACGGTTACATTTCGCCATTTCAACTGTAAAATGGTGAGAGATTGCCGCCAATCTATTTCTGTGCTGAAATTCATAAAGTCTCGCTACCAAAGAGGAAAGCTCATCAGAACAATTACCATGAAATTATTTATAGAAAATGCACAGGACGGTGTCTTTTTAAAATCTCTTCTTTTGATCAGGACCGATAACATTGCAGGCTCTTCTTTGTATATTGTCAAAAATCTCTAAATACATAGCAGAAGCACCAATCCAATCGTGACAGTAATATTCAGTGAATGACTTATAAATATATAAGAGGGATTGTGGTGAGAAAAATTGTCTTACACGACACAGTGAACCCACTTTCCTAGCAGCAGGCCTAGGAGTGGATTCAATATAATCTTTCAACTTCATGTCATAATTAATATTCATCACTGTATTAAGTGCATTGACAAGGAAAGATGCGATGGTAACTACATAGAAAAAATATTGTTTTTGTAGCTGAAAACAGGGAGACAACTTTACGGCGGTGTGAAAGTGACTGAAGCCGAGACGCCAGATCAGGACCGATAACATTGCAGGTTATTCTTTGTATATTATCAAGAATCTCTAAATACATAGCAGAAGCACCAAAATCAATCGTGACAGTAATATTCAATAAATGACTTATAAATGTGTAAGATGGATTCTGGTGAGAAAAATTGTCTGTCACGGCACAGTGAACCCACTTTCCTAGCAGCAGTTCTAGCAATTGATTCAATATAATCTTTCCAATTCATGTCAGTTGAAGACATTAACTTAGATCAAGAATCAGTTCTCTCTCGGAGGTTTGCTTCGGCATCATTGTTTTTCAGGGAAGGTTACTGAATAGAATTTATGTGAAGTTTGGTAATGAAAGATAAATAAAAGGAAAACGTCACGTGATAACATTGGCGATTCTTCTTTAGGTTTTTTAATTTCAAATCAGAGCACTAGACCAGATTTGACAGTACTAATCAATGAATGAACGAATGTGGCTTATATAAAGATCGCGGTGTCTTGGACGACAGTGAACAACTCATGACATAAGAACACCAAGAATTTATCACTTTATTAGGTGCATTGATTGGAAAGATTCGAATTTTACATAGGAAAAATATTGTTTTGTACTGAAAACTTGTACAGGGAGATAACTTTACGGCGGCGTGAAAGACTTCTGGACACCAGATCAGGACCGATAACATTGCAGGTTATTCTTTTGTATATTATGACAATCTCTAAACATTCACCCCAATCATGACAGCAATATTCAATGAATTATTATAAATATATAAGAGGAGGTAAAATCCACGATTAACCCCCACTTTCCTAGCAGCAGTAGGCAATTGATTCAAATATAAGACAGAACTTTCCATTTTAGAAAAAGAAAAAATGAAAAGAAAAAAAACATTTAAACTAAGGAGCGTTGTAAAGATGTGGATTTTGGTGCAATATAGGGGATTAGGATCCATGTTCGATACCCCGTCTAATAATTATTCGGACTATTGTTTCTTCATTAATCCACCCCCACCGATGGTCCGAAATAGTGTAGTAATTTAGTATATATTTTCCTCATCTCAGAAATATTAACATTGACAGATACACTATTTACATTATTGAAAGACTATTTCTTTTCTTTATTGCCATATGATGAATACCTTTTTAAGAATAATCTCATCTCAGAAATAAGACATTTAAATTCATAATTTCAGTTATAGATGATACCATAGACTTAAAAAAGTTAATCAGAACACTCACCATGAAAGTATTTATAGAAAAAGCACAGGGGAGCTATGTTATGTGGTGGGAAAGTAACTGAAGCCAAGATGCCAGGTCAGTACTGATAACATTGCAGATTCTTCTATGGATTTTCTCAAGAATCTCTAGATACATAGCACAAGCACCATACCAGATGTGACAGAAATATTGAATGCATGGATGAATGGCAGACTTATAAATGTGTAAGATGGATTTTGGCGAGGAAAATTGTCTTGCACGATACGGCGAACCCACTTTTTTTTATATTTCCTAGCGGTAAACCCGGCAATTGATGCAATATAATCTTTCCACTTCATGTCAGCAGAAAACACGTTAACCCAAGAACGCAGTGAGTTAAGGGGTTTAATATATATATATATATATATATATATATATATATATATATATATATATATATATATATATATATATATATATATATATATATATATATATATTCCCGTCATGATGCTTAGGGGTCGATCGTGTTGACAATGACAAGCAACAGAAAAACTCTCTCTATGATGACTGTTATTCTCATTAAGAAAACGCTTTTACGAACGTTGAATCGGGTCGAGTTGAGCTGATCTTTAAAATTGCAACCGATTTTGTACGCTCTGGAAAAGAGAGAAAGAAAATGAAGCTGCAAGTAGGAAGCGTTAACATTTTATATAAAGCAATGCGCATGTCACCGCTGAATGCCATTTTATATCATTTATATAGACAAGATGTCACCAGAATGTCGATAGCATTAATATATTTTCTTTTTTTTTTTTCCTACACCTTTTTGATATCTATCTATTAGGTGTCTTTGTTTTAATTCCGCTTTTCGGCAATAGGCAGCTTTTTGTTCTCCTTTTATTGGAGAGTTACTTGCTTTTTTTTTATCTACTTCAATTTTTTTTTTTTGAAATCTTAATTCTCTATCATTTAAAATTTATATATATAAAATATAATATATATATATATATATATATATATATATATATATATATATATATATATATATATATATATATATATAAAGACAATTTATTTCATTTTAGGGTTCTTTCTTCTGTGATAAAACGAGTAAAATTTTGACGATTTGCCTCTAGTGTTTTTTTTTATATTGCTACCCTTGTCGCAATTTAAAAAAAAATGTTTAAACACCGTTTACGTGTAACGACAAATAATATTTTTCTCTTTTGTGAAAAGGTAATATAACACAGATAAATTACAATTATTGCTTAATAAATGCCATCCGAATATTTTATTCCCAAAAGATCTCTCTCTCTTTCTCTCTCTCTTTCTCTTTCTCTCTCTCTCTCTCTTACATATTCTGTTCATTTTTCTCATTTCTAATAGCTACCTATGTTCAAATACATGTTTGATTATATCTATCTTTTCCTGTTGGATATATCTGTCTCTCTCTCTCTCTCCCTCTCTCTCTCTCTCTAGCTATATCTCTGTTGTATATCTCTCTCTCTATCCCTATTCTATCTATCTATCTATCTATCTATCTATCTATCTATCTATCTATCTATCTATCTATCTCACAGTCTGCATTATCTATCTATCTATCTATCTATCTATCTATCTATCTATCTATCTATCTATCTATCTCACAGTCTGCATTATCAAAATCTTTCTATCTATTCATCTATCTATCTATCTATCTATTTATCTATCTATCTATCTATCATCTATCTCTCTCTATCTCAATATCTATCTATGTATGTATCTAAATCTATCTTCTCTGCTGTATGTTGTATCAATCATATCTCTATGTCCGTTCGTTATATCTATCTATCTATCTATCTATCTTTCATATATCTATCTATCTATCTATCTATCTATCTATCTATCTATCTATCTATCTATCTATTCTATCTGTTGTTCTCTCTCTCTCTCTCTCTCTTTTGTCTGTATGTATCTATGTATCTATGTATCTTTATTACCTTTGTTGTATCTAGATAATCTATCTATCTATCTATCTATCTATCTATCTATCTATCTATCTATCTATGTTGTAGAGAGTTTCTTGTCTCTTTCTGTCTGTGTTTTCTATCTGTTTCTCTCTGTTTTATACTTTTATCTTCTATTTGCATCTTGTTTTTCTTAATATATATATATATATATATATATATATATATATATATATATATATATATATTTTAAAAAAAAAAAAAAAAAATAAAAATAATTATAATTTAAGCTCTACTTCTGTATGGAGCAAAGTTTGTTTTTTTTTTAAAATAAAATACTAAAGAACTCCGGATTATTTACTTAACGTGTTCTTTCTAATTTTTCTACATATCTGCACACACACACACACACACACATACACACACACACACACACACACACACACATATATATATATATCTGTTGTATCTACATATCTATTTCTTTTATCTTTTTTATCGTCGAAAATCTCACATCAGGGTCGCAAGTGAACATTTGGCATTTTTAGGAACTCTTCCCAAGTGATACGTGTTATATATCTAGACTGAAACTAGACAGTTTCAGGATTTTATAACTGTCTAAACTTCGTCCTAACTCCAAATATTTGTCAAGTTACGATCATTTGAATTTAATCAAAACCTTCACATGTTTAATCATTTATAGTTAGATGTTCAGTCCTGGATCGATACTTTCGGAATCTAGTTGAAATGAATGTTATAAGTAATAAACAGGTTTAAGTTAATGACTTTTTTCAAAAAGAAAAAAAAAAGCCAAGATGAAGTGGATTTTGGTGTCCTACGACACAGAATTTAGTCAAATGAACACAATTCTCAGCTACGTATTGCCCACTTTTTTGTTTCTAACCTCACAACTTCGGATAACGCTACCAAAAAAAAAAAAAAAATGCCTGACATTAAGTTTTGTCTCGTTATTAATTCTAATCTGAAAAATATAAGTATATTCTTCAAGTAATTTTAGTTAAATGTTATTTCTCTTAGTTTTTAAACGGAATTTATTAGAGTATCAATCAATATTCCAAATTATTCATACCGCATTTTAGGAGATTTCTTTTTGTAAATAGTCATTTTAATCACTTTAAACATTTTGTTAAGTGTAGTTAAGAAAAAAATAAGAATAATTAGGAAAGTTATAAAAAGAGAAAGACCAAACAAGTAAGATATAATAAAGAATTTAAAAGGGGAGGAAGAAAAAGGAAAAGTAAGTCGTAAGACAAGCCAATATCGTTTTCATTTTTATTTTATTTATGTATATATATATATATATATATATATATATATATATATATATATATATATTGGTTTTTTTCTTCTTCTTCCAAAAAAACACCCTGTCTTGACCGCATGTAGGAAGATCATACAACCAAGCATACTCGATCTATAACATCGAATAGTCCAAGTGAATTCTTGATTACTTGCCGTTTTCGAGGGGAACTTATATAAAGCACGTCTTAAAGCTAGTAGCAAATTTTATTCTGGGTGCAGGTCGTCGAATATTGATCATATTTGGTCGGGTCACCCATGGAACTAGAATAGTCTACCCCAGTGAGCGAAATAAAGGGTTCCGTTCGACATTCCACCCACCTGAAGAAGGCCGGAGCGTACAACGGCCGAAACGTTGTAATTAATATGGTGACAAAGATGAGGACAATATTCCGTATAATATAAATAGAGTACATAATACCTCATTTCAGAAATATTGACAGATAAATTACTAAACTTAGTTTAGTATGTCTCAATAGTTTAGATGTGAGGCTTTCAGTCAGGATTGAACTCACTACAGTTGTAATGGTCTATGAAGCTAGCTTGTTAAACATTGCTTTACAGTGAAAGTGATTGCATTGGTTAATTATAATGTTATTAAACAAGAAATGCCATTTTATGTTGTGACTCTACATCATTGATATAATAAAATACTGTCATCGAATATCAATTGGCTTCCATCATTTTTAGTGTCGGTATTGTTCTCAAGCAGAAAAAAGTGTAACAACTTTGTAATGTGGAAGTGAAAACTTCACCTAAAAAAAAAATAAAACTTTTTTTTTTATTTTATTTTAATTTTTTGCTATTTTTCACTATCATGGTTGTTGTAAGACATACTCAAGTGGATGTTGTAAGGACGTACAATGAGGAGGTCAAGAGGTGCATATTATAAGGATATGTAGGATAGACAACGGTTGGCCATCGACTTGAAGAGGCTAAGATTGTAGGGGTCGAGGAAGCATTCTCTACGCAACAGTTCTGGCGAAGAAGCTGTTGCTTATTTAGACCCGAAACTTCTAGTGACATGGGAGCAACAACACTGACGATGCACCTAGATTCGGCACTTTATTTCTTCTCTATCTATAAAAGACAGGATGTGTGTGTGTGTGTGTGTAACGAATGCACGGCCGCAATTTTCGACGGATTTGCACCAAAATTTACATGCACATACTCCAAGTTAGCGGAAAGGCCAAGACTGACTTTGCATTTTCCCAACTCCCATCGATAATGGAAATAATCGATTTTTTTAATGCTTCCACGGCAGTTTTCATGTAGTTTGCGGCCATTTTCTACTGGCCAGAGTGAGAGCCTATAGCTGGCTGCCATGAATAGGCAGGAAGATTCTATTGGTCACCGTGAGAGCCAACAGCTGATTGACACGAATGTTAACTAGCATGCTAGCATGCAAAAAAAAAAAAAATCGATAGCTGCATTCGTCACAAGTGGGAAAAATTTAAATCTGCATGGCACTTTACTCCAATTGGCTCATTCGCTTGCTTAAACTCAACGTTGATTCTGATTCCGCAGAACTGGGTTGGGTGTGAAAAAGTATTTGTTGTTAACATTCTTTTTTTCATTCGGTTTTTCCAGTTACGAGTCCTTTTTTAAAGCTGATCGTTTTGTATTCATTTTGTTTAGTTCTTTTTTTCGTAACAGATTTAATGTTTAGTATAGAGCTTAGAAAAAATTCGCAGTGTGAGATAGGCAAGAAGTAAGGCATGTAGCAACATCAGCATGGCAAAGGGCACTCCTCTAAAGGCAAGGAAGGGCAAAAATATTTTAAGTCAAGTGATAGCGATTGCTGTATGAGTCGTACGATTTTTGAATCGCCGGGCCACGCTGCTAGTTTTTAGTAATATTCCTTCCCGGGGGAGATAATTAAAATATTGAGAATTTAGTTCTGAAAAGCGATTATGTTTAAATTTCAAGTTATATTTGTATTTGAAAAGAAAAAAGAGGCAGACATGAGTTACGGTCAACATTAGTCGTGTTAAATATTTGTTTTACGAATTTAAATCTATCTTATATAATTTAATTTTCGAAAAGAAAAGAAAAAGAGGCTCGCTATAGTTTTTTTTTTGCTTTAATAAAACTTAATTGATAATTATTTACTTTTTTATGTTAGTTACAAACCAAAAAAAAAAAAAATATGAAGTTTATTTTTTAAAGATTGAATAAAAAAATATTTTCCATAAGATGGCCGAAAAATATTAACAAGTCAATAATACACCCCCACGCGCGCATGCGCGCGCACACACACACACACACACACACACACACACACACACACACACACACACACACACTCTCTCTCTCTCTCTCTCTCTCTCATATTTGAATAAATGAATATTAAAATTTTTGTCAAGTAATTGTATTTAATATTCTTCTTTTAAAATTACTTTGTTGTTTTAATATTCATTACACTTTTAATCACTATAGATATGTAAATAAATTGAAGAGAATAGACATTTTTAAAATACATACTTGTATAGCGTTTAGCAGAATAAAAAATAAAAAGAACGATAATTCGATTTTTACCGTCCGTTTTTACTTTTTAATTCTGAGAATTTCGAATGCAATCTGACGCATTTTATTTTAAAAATATCTTCGTAAATACTAATCATACGATAATAAGTTTTTGGGGCTGCATATATATTTATTTTGTTTTTATATATATTTATTTTATTTGTATATATATTTATTTTGTTTGTGTATATATTTATTTTATTTGTATATATATTTATTTTGTTTGTGTATATATTTATTTTATTTGTATATATATTTATTTTGTTTGTATATATATTTATTTTGTTTGTGTATTATATTTATTTTATTTGTATATATATTTATTTCGTTTGTATATATATATTTATTTTGTTTGTGTATATATTTATTTTATTTGTATATATATTTATTTTGTTTTATATAAAATTTTATATATATATTTATTTTTTGTTTTGTATATATTTATTTTATTTGTATATATATTTATTTTGTTTGTGTATATATTTTTTATTTGTATATATATTTATTTTGTTAAATATATATATTTATTTTATTTGTATATATATTTATTTTGTTTGTATATATATTTATTTTGTTTGTGTATATATTTATTTTGTTTGTGTATATATTTTATTTTTTTATATTTATTTGTATATATATTTATTTTTTGTTTATATATTTATTTATTTTGTATATATATTTATTTTGTTTGTATATATATTAATTTTGTCAAAATTGTACTGTAGTTTTTTTTAAAACACACACTCACATATATAATGCTCTTTATATATGCATAGATGTTCAGTTCTGGATAGATGATTTTTTTGGAATCTTGTTGAAATGAATAAGTGATAAACAGGTTTTAAGTGAATGACTTTTTTTTCAAAAAGGGCCAAGATGAAGTAGATTTTGGTGTCCTACGACACAAAATTAACACAATTCTCCGCTATATATTGCCAAACTTTTTTGTCTCTGACCGCTAACGCTAACAAAAAAAGAAAAAAAAGTTTTGTCTCCTTATTAATTTTAATCTGAAAAATATAAGAATATTCTTCCTGGGAAGATATTTAAAACATGGAGAATTTAGTTTTTAAAAATGCTTATGCTTAAATTTCAAATTATATTTTTATTTGAAAAGAAAAAAATAAAACTTTAGTTTGATAAAAATTATCAGAGACAGACAAAAATTATGAGTTATAATCAACATTAGTTTTGTTTTACGAATTTAACTATATTTTATTTAAATTAATTTTCGAAAAAATAAAGCTTGCTGTAGTATTTTTGCTTTAATAAAACTTAATTGAAAATTATTTACATTTTTATGTTAGTAACAAACAAAAAAAAAAAAAACCCCAAAAAAAAACAAAACAATAAAGTTTATTTTTTAAAGATTGAAAAAAAAATATATTCTTTTTAATACTAAATCTTCTTTTTCGACATAAATTTCCTTTTATTTATCAGAAAATCATGATCTAGATCAGGGATCGGCATTCTTGACCGCGTATGATTTTTGTCTGGTCCACCAACCTATCACCTGGACACTAATTACCTAATTAATTTGTGGAGCAAGTGGCAGAAAAATACCACTTAGTCAACTTAAAATACGACGAATTTTTTAAATGAAAATTTAATTCCAAATCAACTGCTGACTTCGACAAGAAATATGTTTTGGCAAGAGGAATTGAAGTCTGTTGAATGATGTGAAAATGAGGTTAACATTATTTGGAAGTATATATGCTTGGGAACAATATTTTGCGAAAATGAAATCTATCTTTTCTTTTTATGTGCCTTGTGTCTTCAGGACGTAGGCGATCATGGCTCTCCACTTCCTCCTGTCCCTTGTAGCTCTCAATAAGTTTTCTCCCTTAGCTGCAACCCCCAGGCCATGTTCTGTCAGTCACTTGCTTAAACCTGCCAGGTATCTTATACGTTGCTTTCCCTTGTCTCCCTTTCCCTGTATTTGCCCTCTGAGTATCAGATTTTCCAAGCCTTCCTTTCTCATTACGTATCTCAGAAATTTCATCTACCTCTTCCTGATGTTAAGAATAAGCCTCTTCCTTATATGCATCCTCTCTAAGACCTCATTGTTTTTCATGCTCGGTCCATGATATAAATTAGCATCCTTCTGTAGAACCACATCTCCGTCGCCTCGATTCTCTTCTTCATCTTTGAGGAAATCGTCCAACATTCGCTGCCTCTTCCTTTTGTTAAGTATAAGTCTCCTCCTTGTTTGCATTCTCTCTAAGACCCAAAAAAAAAAGAGGAAAAACTTGATCCATGATATCCTTAGCATCCTTCTGTAGAACCACACATCTCCGTCGACTCTGAGTCTCTTCTTCATCTTAAAAGGAAATCGTCCAACATTATGCCTCTTCAAAAAAAATTATTTCCTCCTTATTTTGCATCCTCTCTAAGACCTCATCGTTGCTCACATGTTCGGTTCATGGTATCCTTAGCATCCTTCTGTAGAACCATACCTCCGTTGCCTCGAATCTCTTCATCTTTGAGGAGACTGTCCAAAATTCGCTGTTATAAGAGGGACAGATGTCTTATTTAATTCAGTACTCTATTCTTTGTTACCAACGAAATCCTCTTGTCTTGTAATACTCTCCCTAGCTTTTGGAATGCGTCTTTGGCCATTCCAATACGTCTGCACATCTCAGCGTAGCACTTGCCGTTCTCTGTCAAATACACTAAAAGTCGTTTGAGATCAAGGTTGGGTGATGACTACTTGGATGATGTTTTGCTCCTGTCATCGACAAATATTTTACCTGATGCAGTTATCGAACGATAGGCAGAAACTAGTGTTTCATTAAATAATTCGCCATTTTTAACGGTATTTCGTTTGCAGTAAGGAATTTGCATTTTTTTGTTAGTGTTAGCTGTTATCCTGTTATTCCTGCAGTAAAATAAGGAACCTTGTTTAAATAATATAACGTTAACTTCGTTGATTTTTTAAAAACCTCCAAACCAAGGCAGCCTTCTGGACGGAGGGGTTTGAGGTCGAGACATTTTATTATAGTACATTTGATATCATGGCCCTCTTCCGAGTCACTGCAAAGCCGTCTGGCCTGCTCTACTCAAAATGTTGCCAAACCCTATTCTTGGATATAACAACACATTTCTATGACATATGTTAACATAATAAGGACTTAAAACACACATAAATATAATATATAGATTGAAATCACAAAAAAAATACTCACTTCTAAATGCTTTGTTGTCTCTCTTGTATAATCCTAGAATAAATGTTAATTTGGATCATATCTATCTATCTATCTATCTATCTATCTATCTATCTATCTATCTGAATCTATTTCTCTTTCTTTCTTTCTTTCTTTTCTCAGTCTGTTCATTTCTATCTATCTATCTTTTGTCAAATCAAATCTATCTATCTATGTGACGGTTACACACCTGGCCCAGGGTCGGATCCTTTGGTTACGGCGCCAACGGTGACGTCGCTCCTCCTGGTCGCTCCTCCTGGTCCTCCTGGGTCCAAGCGTGCCGCTCCAACCCTTTGGTCAGATGATCACCAGCCTCGCCTTTCCCGACTCGCTTCCAATACCTGGTCACTAAAGCAACTGTACCGATCTCCGGTCTGTCTACCCACGCTGTGTTTAGATCTTAGACAGACGGGACCAGCAGGGATTGGGGCCGATACAAGTTGAGTCCGACGGGGTGGCAAAACACAAAAAAAAAAAAAAAACTCACGAGACCAAAAAAGATTGCTGATGAAAAAAAGGGTAACAACCTTTTTATCTTAATGTCCGTTACATAAAAACAAAATTGTTCTCATTTCCCAACCCGCTCTGTGGACTATGGCACCAAGCTTCTATCACACAACCTAAAGATTTCGAATTGCCTACTCTTTAGAATTGTGTATGTCGGAGTGTGGTTTGGTTCGACACTGGGGCTAATTTCTATCGATCATTCGCAGTTGATTCTTCTCTTCGACTTGAGTTGTATTTCTTCTTCTTCGTCGACTTAGGCTGGAGTTTCTCTTGTCTTCGACTTGGGCTGGAAGGATCTTCTTCTTCAACTTGGGCTGGAAGTTCTCTTGGCTTGGGTTGATTTCTGTCTTGTGCAACTCAGCCGCAACTTTCTCTGTCGTCTGGTGATCTCTTCTTCTTCTTGGCAAGATTTCTTCTGTCCTGAAGGAATTTTCTTGGGCTGTAACTCTTCTGTCGACTTGGGCTGGAAGGATTTCTTGTTTCGAAATTTGGGCTGAATTTCTTGTCTTCGACTTGGGCTGGAAGGATTTCTTGTCTGAGGATTCTTTTGCCCGCAAAGGGGCGAAGTGAATCGGGCCTGATGCCCGCGTTCAGGCTCTATCCCTGCCCGCGGTCCAGGGGCAACTCCACTCCAACTGATTTCTGTCGACTGGGGTCCTGCTTTTATTGACGCCGCAACAAACTGGGGTGGGTCTGTCGGCGTCAGGGTTTTCTCAATAATTCCAAAAGTCGCATTATTTTTGATTTCCCATTATCGCTATTGTTTTCACCCCTACTTCCTCACAGTGCCTTTTGGGGAGGCGCACACCCATCTCTCTTAGTCTCTCGTATGTCAGGTGACCGTTTTTCGACCAATGGTTCCTGATCGGGCATTTCTTTCTCTTCTTTCTGCAGATCACGTGACCGTTTCCGACCAATTGTTATTGATCGAGCATCCTTCAATCAATCCTTTCGGGCGTGGTTACATCGTTCTTGTTTAAAAAACAAAATCTAATTTTGCCTTTTTTTTGCACGTACGAAAAAATGACAATCTTGGCTTTTTTCTCACCTGGGCTCTGTCAAACAGCCCGCCGCTAATTAGTTGTGACTTCAGGAAAGAATATTGGCGCCATCTGTGATCTGAGACAATCGTTTTTTTCACCTCTTTTTTTTTGTCAGACCTGATAGTCAGAAAATCTTAATTATCTGAATTGAAAACATCTTCACTTTATTCATCGTGGGGTTCTAATTTTTAACAGGTCAGAATCTGTATACAGTTCCACCGGTCACCCCTCAACCCAAAAACACTTTTTCTCTGATTAAAATTTCGTTTTCATTGTTCTAAAAAAAATTTCCCTTTATCCAAATTGATAAGGTGTCTTTCTACGCAAAAGTAGGCTAGATGCTTTGACCGATATCTGGTTTTTCATCAAGCGGCCCGTTTTGATATCATGTTTTTTCCTTTTTTTTTTTTTTATTATTTCTAATTCTATTCTTCCAATTGTCTTTAAAAATTCGGTCAACATGCTAGCTAAGATATCTTTCTGACTCGTGTTTTTTGTTAATGACTGGGCTTTTTGTATTTCTCTTTTTCTTTTTTTTTCTTCCCCTTTCCTTTTCTTCTTCCCTTAGGATCGTCTAAGTACAATCTTAGTGAATTATTTTCAACTCAATTATTTTCCGTTTAAAAAAAAAAAATCAACAACCTGTTTAGTAAACCGAGTAAAAAAAAATTAAATCATATTTCTATGAATATTTCTAATAATGCAAGGTGCGGATATGCGTAACAATGCATTGCTTCCAGTATCAAGTGTCTGGGAAAAGAGGAAGGGAATAAGATGTTATCGCCAGCCTCTTCCCCAAGCAAGTTGTGAATGAGGTGCTACCTGTCTTAGAGGTTCACATCAATGAAATCAAGAGAGTGGCCTTGGTGGATATGGACTGCTTAAAGTCATTTGCAAATAAATTGGCCTGGCAGGAGAAGAAGATGGACATACTTCATAAACAGTAAGTAACACCCTCAAATGCAGCTGAGTTGGAAATATCAAGCTTGACATGGATAATACAGCTCATCTCAACATCAACATCACTGCTACTAAAATATAAGAAACCGTTTTCTGTGCCAAATTTGACCCAAACAGGATGATATGGGTTGATCATGACCAGAGAATTTGTGGAACAGGATGCATGAGTACCCAATAACAAAAGGTGTTAAGGAAGAATACAACTACAAACTGCATGTTACCAGCAAATTGAGTCATTACCTGGCATGAAGGAGAATTTCTTGAGATGAGCAGCTGCTGCATCAAAGTTTATCCCCTCAAAATTCTACAATAAATATCTTTCAACTATTTTAACTGGCAGCTTTTTTTATCAAACAAAACCTATCATGGGACTCTTCTCACACATTAGGCTAGCAGTTACTTTGCATCCTCAATTACTGAAACCATCTTGACTGATTCACTTAATTTAAATTTTGTTTCAATATCACTGATTGATTCAAACTCTTGTGCCCCAGCACTTTTTTTTTTTTAATCAATTCATCCAAACAAGGCAATAAAGCCACTAAGACACAAGAGGTTACTGAGTGTGAGAGAATCTGAGAAAAGAAAACCTTATTATGGAGAAAGCAACAAAAGATCAGGAATTAATGATTTGAAGTTTATGTGTCCACTATATCTACCACAACCCTCTCATTTAAATCAGGTCTCTCTAGGCATGAGTGGCACCACTTTGGTTTCTGAAGTTGGTAGTATGCTTTTTTATTTTGTTTTTTTTTTATAAGCATGACAAGGGTAAGATTAATCCACAAAATTAAGCATGAAGTAAGACTCAAATTTTTTAATGCAACTTTATTAAGCATCAAGACCAGCTCAGGTGTTTTTTTTAAGACCGCTTAAAATTTCTTTTTTCAAATTTTAAGCAAGAAATAAGGCTCAAACTTAAGAATTTGCTAACATGACCAGGTTCAGCTGATGCTAATAAAAAAAACTTGTATGTCAATCCTAAAATCCCCCCAAAAACATTCTTCCTTTCTATAATTCTCACGAAAGTGATATAATCAATTTTAATTAAGTTATCCCCAACATAATTGTTTTAGTGATTTATTAATCTAGTATCATAAAAAGCTAAAATTGATAAAAGAAAAAACACTTGATTATGAATAAAATAAAACAAAATTTCAGAGAACAAAATCCAATGTTTTTAACATGTGTTCAACAACAAATTATTAAAAATAATCTATTTAATGATATAATTAAAAATACAGTTAACTCCACTTGAGTTTCAAATAGATGAAACAGTTGGAATAAAAATTGGTTCTCTCCTAGAATGCTTGTAGCCTAACAGAGTGGTATAACAGCTGCTGAGTCACTGCTATAGATTTGTTTTCTTTGGTAAATGTGTATTGTTTTCATCAATGATGTGAAAAAGAGTTTAAGGCAGTAGCAGCAATAACATAAATGTGGCATGAAAACACAACAAAGGGCATTTGGATAATTAACAGCTAAAAAATAGTTCAGAGTTGGACCTACTCAAAATACAAGTGAACAGTATCAGAGCCACCTTAGCTTATGTTGGACTACAAGGCATTACATTTTCATGGTGTCAAATAAAAAATTATATATAACATCAGTATGAAGCATCAACCTTTTAATTTCAAAACCAACACAGCTACAGTGAAAATGTAAAACAACTCCATCCTGAGAGTCCCCAGCCAATTACACATGTGCATGTTCAGGCCAGTTAATACAATTTCTTTAGGCAATCACCACAATTTATAAAGAACTCTCTTTTTACATCAATTGAATTCCTTTATCCAAAAAAGAAAAAAAATGTGAAATGTTGATGCAAAGTGGATTTTCACCACAGAGTGGGAGGTTGCTTGAACTAACAGATATTCTGTCAAATGTGCCAGGTGTTTTAAATTCCAATGTAGAGAAAGAGGATGCTGCATCAAGGCTAAAAATCAGGAAATGCAGTCAGGAAAAACACCCAGGACCAAAAAATTATGGAATTGATAGAACTGGAGTCAGCAAAGACAAAAGAAGTTCATAGTTGCATATGAAAATGGAAATGCATGTCAAAGAAGTTCACACAAAGTTAAAATGTGAGTGCTCTGAAATTGATCTATATGACATTATAAACACTACTAAGAAACTTGAGCCAGAAGTGGGATTGTTGTATGTACAATTGTGGATCAAAAGGAACTAGGTCAGAAAAAACTTGTCAGAAGATGGATGCATGCATGACTGTGATAGCAGAACTGGTAAAACTAATGGAACTACATCTCACAGAAGATGAACAGGAGTTTGATGCAGAAGGAGAAAAAAAGTAGGCTATATGTATGGCTGAACTGTGATTACACAAGGTCTATATTTGGATCCATATACTCAAAAGTCACTGTATGCAGTTAACAGTCTAATCTTTTTTCTGAGTCACAAAGCATCTCACCAAAAAAGGGCAGAAGCAGTTACAGTGTTGGCTGCAAAAGAGTCAAAATAGAGATGCAACCTGTTATTGATAGTCAATGTCAACAACTTAAAAAATAAATGGGAAATGGAAATCATTAAGGCTAAAGTAAGAGCATACTCAATAGAGAGGACCCACATGAATGAGAAATGTGATTCTGCAAGCTATAAGGCAAACAGTCAAAAATTTCCCCAAAGTAGTACAAAGGACTTTGGAGAAATAG